CTTCTGTGGTGAGTTTCACTGTTTTTCCAAAAGTAATAAGTCTTGGCAGTTGGAACATGCTATTCACCTAAGGGCTGTCAAACATTCTCACTTTGAAAGACAGAATTTATGAATTGTCAACATGTCTTTGAGGCGAGAAACCAGTGTTCATCAAGAGAAAAACTAAAATAAATGCTCAAATAAATTGAAAAGCAGAATGTTGCCTGACCACCCGATCTTAAGCGCATATTACACATAATCTCCCGTTCCCATGTTATAACAATGGCCATATGTGTGATATGGATGACAAACTGCATGGCTATTACTGTGCTTTTCAAGCAGAACATAGTCTAGAGATCAATGGCTTGAGTTTGTTGTTGGTTTTTTTTTCTGCATTCTATATAAAGTAAACTATTTGTCATTGAGCAACTCCCATAAATACAACTCTAATACCAAAACTGCTGACAGCCTTGTAGGTGATTTCAGTAGTGGAAGCCAGGACTGAACACGGTGAACTGCATTAGAGTTGGTCCCTGGAGAGCAGAATTGAACTTCGTTGGCAAGAGCCCTGTAAGAGTTCCATTTGACTCCTCATTAAACCTCTCCTAGGCATTACAGCTCTTTTCTGTGGCTGCTACTACTTCTCTTTCCATACAAGAGGTAGATGTGAACACAGAGGCATTGGTACATTTTCACGTGTTTAGGAAAAGATGGCCTTTCTTAACAAAAACCGAGCCTCTTGCAGATTTTTACAAAGATCTTCCAGTTTCTTGTTCATTAATGGCGTTATTATTACTTCCCAAAGCAGTAGAGAGCTCTATTTCAATTTGTGCAAATTCATTTTTTAACGCCTGCAGATTCTGTATTGTCCATTTATCTTTTCTCCAGGGAAAACAGCAGTAGGGGTAAAATAATTGGTGATAATAATCTCTGTCTTCTTTACCTCACAGTATTGTCGGGATAATGAAATCAGAACAAACATTTTGAAAGGATTGGTGAAACACAGATTACTATTTGTACTGTACGTTGCCCATGACCATTCTTGCTGTTTTTTAGTCCTTGAAAATAGCTTAAGATTTACCATACTTTGGACGTATCCCACTGGAAAACTAGTCGATAGTTAAAAGAGGCACAGGGCGTGCCCTATGGATTGAAAACCCCACGCTGCTGATGATCTGGCTTTCACATTCTTCTTGCGAGCCTCTTCTAGGAAGATTCCCTAGACTGTTACTGTTTTAAGTGCAATAAAAACAAATGAAACTCCTTTTTTGTTTTGTTTTTTTTTCAGCAGCAGCTAAGTAATATACTTTTCTCTGGAGAGAAAATCTGTGGTTATGAAATGATACTGTCAGTCTTCAGGCCATCTAATCACGGTGTTACTTAATGGAATATTAATAATGCTAATCACAAATACTTTAATGGGGAATGTTTTACTTGTTACTCTTCACTGTTATTGTTCCCCAGAAGTGGTCCATATGTACCCATGTGTGAGGGCATTAGAGGCTAAGCAAATTGTGGTATAAGTGATGAGGAAAAAATAAAAAGACAATATAGCAAATAGGATTATATAAAAATGTACATCACTATGAAAGTTCTTTTTGCATTTACAGGATGACTGTATGATCAGTAGAATTGCTTTCTATTGCCCTACATACATCAGCGAAGCCTATATCCATGTATCTATACACACACAAACATGTACACACACATATAAAGATCTTATATATATAAGCAAACCACAACATGGACCCTTTAAAATCAAACTCGATTCAAAAGAGGAGTCATTAGCAACTTGTGAGTATGATTTCGCCACTGGTCTAAATATATCTTTAGTTCTAGACATTAAATCACTTTAATGTCACTTTCAAGAGTGTGTGGGAATAGAATGTTGCTTTCAGGAGCTTCAAACTAAAAGGAAAACTATCAAAACAAAACCCCTGTAAGTTCAGTCCCAAAGATAAAATTTTCAGGTAGCCCATGAGTCTGACTCAGAGGGAGGGAAAAGCAGTTAATATTTTCCCAAAAGAAAGAAAAGGTCCAGGCCAACAAAGAGAGGGCATAAAGGCACTAAAAGGGAGCACATGAGGGGAAAGAATATGACAACAAAAGATGCTTCTAAAGGAAGACACCAAAGACAGTATTTTCACATAAATTCAGACCATTATTATTTATTTATGTCTATGAGCATTTAGTACACATACATACACATGTAAATATATTCAATCTAAACCTTTCTTAGACACACATATACATACCAACCAAGTGATTCCCGTTTGGTCATTTTGTTATCTAGCCAAAGGTTGAGTAAACATAGCCCCAGGTCCTTTTTCATGCCACTACTCCCTAACTGTGGGTCTGAGACAAACTCCTGTATTCATAACCAAGGTCACCTTGCCTGTCTCCTGGTGCCCAAACATGTCTCAAAGACAAATAGGAAGTTCCATTATTGGCAAGGTGCAGCAAGGGTCATTTACATAATAATGAGTGATTTATATTTATTTTTTTAAAGATTTTATTTATTTATTTGACAGAGAGAGAGAGCACAAGCAGGGGGAACTGCAGACAGAGGGAGAGGGAGAAGCAGGCTCCCCACTGAGCAGAAAGCCCGATGTCGGGATGTGGGGATCCATCCCACCACCCTGGGATCATGACCTGAGCAGAAGGTAGATGCTTAATCCACTGAGTCACCCAGGCGCCCCACAGTGATTCATATTTAAATAGAGTACCCCATAGTTTATTTTGACAGACATCTTCCTAAAGCTACACATAACAACCAAAGGGACATAAATAGTTTGAAAATACACAGCTAGGAATTAGTTGCCTGAGCTTCTAAAAAGTCACGGATTAGTTTCTCAGGAATAATTCACACTTGTTAGAAAGCATATGGGTGAAGGGGGTCAAAAGTTAGAAATTTTCAGTTACAAAGGAAATAAGTCAAGGGGATGCAATATACAGGATAGTGACTGTAGTTAATATTGTATATTTGAAAGTTGCTAAAAGAGTAGATCTAAGTTCCCATAACAAGAAAAAACGTTGTAACTATGTGTGATGAGGGACGTTAACTAGCCTTGTTTTGGTGATCATTTCACAATACATACAAATATTGAATCATTATGTTGTATACCTGAAGCTAATATAATGCTATATGTCAATTATATCTCAACAAAAAGATAGTTCAGGAGGGTCCTATTTAACCTTCACCTAGCTTTCTCCAAAGGTCGCATTTTATATAATTATAGTATGTATCAAAACTGGGAAACTGGGCACCTGGGTGGCTCAGATGGTTAAGCGTCTGCCTTCGGCTCAGGTCATGATCCCAGGGTCCTGGGATCGAGTCCCGCATTGGGCTCCCTGCTCCTTGGGAGCCTGCTTCTCCCTCTGCTTCTCTCTCTCTCTCTGTCTCTCATGAATAAATAAATAAAATCTTTAAAAAAAAAAAACTGGGAAACTGACAGGGCGCCTGAGTGGCTCAGTTGGTTAAGCGACTGACTGCCTTCCGCTTAGGTTATGATCCTGTAGTCCCGGGATCGAGTCCCACATGGGGCTCCCCCCTTAGCAGGGGATCTGCTTCTCCCTCTGACCCTCTTCCCTCTCATGCTCTCTGTCTCATTCTCTCTCTCTCAAATAAATAAATAAAAATCTTTAAAAAAAAACTGGGAAACTGACAATGGTAGCTTCACACACCTTATTCAAATTTCACCAGTTTTTCTTTCAAGATTTTATTTCTTTCTTTGAGATAGAGAGTGAGAGTGAGAGAGAGAGCATCAGTGGGAGGAAGGGGCAGAGGGAGAGGGAGAAGCAGCTCTCCAGTGAGCAAGGAGCCTGGTCCACGGCTGCATCCCGGGATCCTGGGATCATAACCTGAGCCGAAGGCAGACACAACTGACTGAGCCACCCAGGCGCCGCCAAATTTCACCAGTTTTATAGACATTTGTACGTGTGGGCTCTGGCGCACGTGAACCGCTCCTGCGTTTCTATGCAGTTTTATCACATAGGCAGATTTGGTGTAACCACCACCACCAAGATAGGGAACTGTTTCATCACCACAAAGAGTCCTACTATTACCTCTCTTTAATTATATACCTTGTCCCCGCCCCCGCCCCCGCCCCCATCCATTGCTGGTGAGAATGTAAAATAGTATAACCACTCTGGAAAGGCTCAACAGTTTCTTTAATAATTACACATTTTTTTAAAGTATGTTTATAACTATATGTACTATATTGTGATCCCCCCTCCTCGACTTCTACATTCTGCTTCAGGCAACTTGACAGACTTTGGTGTCAAAAGACAGCCCGTGAAATTAATAAGAGCTGATTTCAAATGGAAAGTGTATATAATTGTACTATTTCCTCCCGGTAGGAGTGGGATGGAGAGAATGGAATCCTACCCATCAAACACACATGCATACACCACGCACTCCATCACTACAATCACAACCACCAGTTCCCTCCAAGTGTTTCTGTACTTTTATAACAGCAACTGAGAGCAGATGTAGGAAAATTGAGAAGAGACTGGGATCCGGTTCCCCAAGTTGCTCAAGAGGAGTCATTGAAACGCCCCGCACAACTCCTGAGTCCCAGAGACAGTGGAAAGGGTCGGGGCGGAGCCTGGAGTGGGGGCTGTCCAGCGATAAGAGGCGGCAGGCGGACCCTGGTGGGAGGGCTGGGAGGCTGCTGTCACTTTTATGAGTCCGCGGCGCACGGTGAGAATCTCCTGCGGCCGGAGGACCGCGGCAGGCTGGGCGCAGGGCATCCGCCTCTCGCTCACCACTCGGACCCCGCTTCTCCACCGGCAGCCTCGGTGGCGGCGGCCGCAGAGCCTCGCCCACTCCAATCCCCACCCTCTCTCTCCATCCTTAGCTGTTAAAGAACGGCAGCGCCTGGCACGTTCCGGGAGGACCCCCGGAGCAGAAGAGGAAAGGGAGCAGGCGCAAGGAGACTGGAAAGGCAGCATGCGCCCCCCGGGAGCAGCCTCGGCGCCCACGTTCTGAGGCGGGAGCCTCAGTTCGCCATTGTGAGCCGCCGCCGGGGGAGTTCGCACGCGCCGCGGTCCCCCCGGGTCCCTTCCGCACCGTGATGGGGCACCTGCCCACGAGACCGCGCGGCGGCCGCCGTTTCCTGTCTCTGTTCTGGTTCTTTGTGCTGCTCAAGGTAGGGGAGCGTCCCCCCCCCCCTCACTCCCGGGCGGTCCTGCCCGCGTCCGCGCTCCGACGCCCGGGCTCTGCCGCGGGGGAGCGGCGCGCTCCGGGGCGCGATGGCCCGGCGGCTGGAAGCGCCCGCTGTGCAGGCTGGGTGCAAGCTTTGTTGTCCTTGCGTGTGCGTGTTCCCGGAGGTTTTGAGGGATGGGGTGGAAGAACAGGGAAGTTTTCTCTCTCCAGCTTTCACCCTTTGTGCTCTTTTACCACAGCTGGTATCCACATCAAAGGTGGGCTTGTTAATTAGTGTTTCACTAGGCAAAATGAGGTCACTTTTCCTTCTGGTCACTACTGCACCCCAATGTTGCTCAACCTTACCGCTCTCTCCCCAACGGTGTGTACGGCTGCTTTGTCTTAATTTACTTTCTCCTGGAATTATACACCTGGGGCTGAGCTCCCTGTCCTCAAAAAGACTGCCGGGTGGTCGTGAGCATGGTTTTCTTTGACTAAAGAGTGTCAGCTTGAGCCTGGAGAGGACTCTTCTCCCCAAGTCTTCATCTTCAACCTGATAATTCCTTTCACAAAGTCTTTAGACTTTCCCCCGCCGTATTTACAAAGGCTGGTACCTCTAAATTTAAATGACAGAAAAAAATCTATAAAATTAACTTTTTTGAGTTTTCTTTGGATTATGCTACTTTAGGCTGTTATTTTTGAGAAAAATGAAAGGGAAGGGGCTGCTTTTTTTTTTAAATCCTAGTTTGACAACTATACTGCACATAAAATCTTTAAAACAAATTTCAGCTAGATGTCTGCTTGGAAAGTAGTGTGAAGTTGTGAGGTAATTGTCTACCGCCTGTGTCTTCAGTGTGTCTAGTTTTGTCGTAGTCCTCCCTTTCCTGGCAAAGTAGTGTGTCGACAGGTGACTGGGAGCTATCCTTTCAGCACCACCGTGCTACCTACCTTAGAAATGGACGAAACATTAATGAATGCAAATGTTTCCTTACCAAAGCGTCCCTTTTTGCTTACATGCACCATTAATTATGAATGCTTGACAAGGAGGTAGTGTAACAGGACCAATGGATTGGGAACAGCATCAATTTTAAATATTCCATATTTTTATTTATCTTAATGGAAAATAGGAAAAATAGTTTCAAAGAGAAAGAGCAACAGAATGAATAAATAAAATTCTAAATTATATTTACTATGTTTTTACATTTTTCTTAAGTTGCTAATAATAATTTTATTTAAAATCTGGTCAATAACAAGATTGGTCATGTGTTTTCATTATAGGAGATTGCTCTTTTAGCACACACCATAATTATATTAGACTTATTTAAGTTTTCTATTAATTTTTCTAATTGTTAAATTCTGTCATAATTATTATGTCTATGCAACACTTGTCATGAATCCAAAGTGGGAAATTGCATCACCACACATTTTTATAAGTAACAGCTAAGACTTACATGTATGACATCCGATCCAAACCCAACATTTGGCACAACTGCAGGTTTTCATCTGAATTCTTCATAATGAGTGAGAATTTCAGAAATGGTCAAATAATGGGTTTGAGAGTGGGAGTAGAGTGCTGCAATTAAAATGTAAAAACTGTGGCAAACTTCTAATGAAAACTTGATTTAGATGTGAGAAAAATGCAGTCAATGTTGGTATAATGGTATTCCCAGTGACTGTAAGAGAGGTTCACCCTGTTCCACACAATAGGTGTATTTTTGCACATTTGCAGATTGGTGTCAATTATGGTTAACTCTGCATCACATAGTAAATACATTGATAAGGCTTGTAATTTAAATAAATATTGTAATGGGACAACTAATTTTGTAGAGAAAGTCATTACCCTTTATTTTATGTAAGTGTAGAGTTTGTGTCACCAGGATATAAAGTATATCAGAGGAAAAAATATATGTATATATACTGAATACCCACCATGCACCAGTCAGTCTTCCAGATATTTCACATATGCTATTTCATTAATCTTATTTTGTTACAGTTAGCAAGTAATATTCAAAGAGTTAAATTGGGCACAAAGGATAAGGCATTTACATTTGGGAATAGTATATTACATGATAAATTTGGCACATTGTATAATCTCTTTCTAATTTGGAAATACGTTTGCATTCAAGGTCCTGAATAAATGTCAGTATAGTAGACCTGGAAACAGTTCCATTATTAAATAGCACATTGTTGATTGAATCTCAGTGATAAGATCTGTGTGCTGAGTCAGAAACAAACAATTTATCCAACCTCCCAAAAATCTCCGTGGCTCACATTATGTCAACAAATCTTTCACTGCTCCATATGAAATACCTTCTGTATAAAAGTGAAAATTCCTAAGAGCCATAAAGTTAGAGAAACTGAAATGGGAGGCTTGATTTATAGTTTTATCTTTTCCACAAATCAGGAGCTAGCAGCTAGGTATAAGTGATGGGAAAGTCTGAAAATTTGAATCTGTATGATTGGCTATAACCAATTTCATTGAGATCGCATAAATGTGCCTGGATGTGGAAGTCTTTGTGCATCGTTCCTTATCCATAGCTAAGTGATAGGAACATTTAATCAAGCATCTCAGATTGTCTAAGTCATCCATTGTATGTTATGAGGCTAATATCTGCATAAGCACAATGTCAATTATGAAATTTTGAAATTTCACAATCCATATTGATGGCATATATAAAAATAGAAAACAAAAGTGGAACTCTATTATCAAGTATCCTGGGAGCCTACCAATCTGAAATTCTTCTACCCACATATGAATGTAAATGGAGTATTTATCCGATGAGTCTCCCTCTTGTGTATCTTCCCAGCATTCCCAGTGAAAACAATGTAATTTCTCTCACCTCCCCTATCTTTACTAAACCTCTTCCTGGAAATTGCTTCCTGTATCAGTTCACTTGATATCAGTATTTTGTCAACTAAGATGCAAATTGTAGAATATGACATCATAGGAATTTCAATTCTGCCTTTCCTGAAATGGTGCTCATTAGTAGTCAAGTGGAATGTTTCCTTAAACTCATAGTCTTGGCATGAATCCTTCTTTCTTTCCTTAACCTCCTCTCTATATTTTCTTCCGGGTCTGCTCTTACCTGATATGTAATCAAAGAACATTAAATTTGAAAGAGGCCTTAATTATATTATCTGAAAAGAGGTTTGTGTTTAATTTTATAAAGCATGAGTGTTATGATGTTGGCCATAGTACTATTTAGGAGAAATATCCACTCTCCAAGGTCTGTCTGCCTTTCTCCACCCCCTGTCTCTCCCTCCTTCTCCCTCTCCCTCTCTCCTTCTCTCCCACCCTTTTCTCTTTCACACACACACACACACACACACACACACAAGAAGTTTCACTTCCACGTGGAAGTTTTATTCACATTCTATATTATACAATATTGGCTGATGAACCATAATCTTTTCATCTTTCTGGAGCAGCTTAACCCACCCTGCTCTCAGTGAAGTTTGCTGTCATTAACTCCTCTGTCAACTGACTCCTTTGATAAATGTTGTTTCCAACCTTTTATTTTTATCTTATCTTATTTTGTTTTTTTAGTGTTAACCTTTTAGAGAAGCCCTTTCACATATGACATCCCCAGTAAGCTGAAGAATGTTCACTGGGCTGGGCTTCTACTGGGGATTGGGTAATAATCCTCCACTATATGTGTGTTTACCTTTGTTCTTTGTTGTGTAAAGATTGTTGTTATATTAAAGAATAAAAATTCACACCTTACCTCTGCCTCATTTTGGTCCATAAGAAAATACACATCTATATGGATAAGTAATTAAAAATGATGTAAGAGTTGTACTTTATTTTTAAATAAAAATACTATTTTTAGCACTATTTCTGGCATCTAAATAACCAACTTAAAGGTAGTTAAACTCATAAGTACATTGGCTCCTGAGGTTTAACAATATAATTCCAACTTAAGTCTTGGGGGTTTGCAAAGGCCCTTTGGTGTTGGATAGAGTTGGTGCACTTATTTAGACCATTGTGATTGGTAGCAGTGTGGCACAATAAAGGGTGAAGAGGAATGACCACAGATATTTATTTCTCATTTTCTTCCCAATTTAATACCTTCAGGTGCACAGTTCCAGTGCTGTTGCATTTCCACAAGTATAGCCCCACTACAATGATGAGCTTTACTAGAAAGTACCTATTATGCTCATTTTATTACTCCAAATATATCTGTTTTTGAAATAAAGGAAAATATATTGTAATTTTTTGTCTTCCACTGTGCTTAAGATGTGGAATTAGGCAAATAGTAGAAGCTTCATAAACAGAATTGAAATTTGTGGCATTATACGGTTTCTGACTGAGAGGTGTTAAATACCATAATATTGACTTGTGAGCACATGTTTAAGGAAAGCATGAGAAAATTATCATTATGTGAATTAAATTATTTTAATTACAATGCAATCATTACACTAAAAAATAATAAAATGTTACCAGTTCTCTATATTAAGAACTTATTAAAATTATAAATCAAAATACCAATGTGCTTTTTTTCCAAAAGTGTAGCACTCTTGGTTGCTCATTTATTCACCAGTGTTACCTCAGCTGCTATGTGCTATCATCAATGAAATAATAGGAGAAATAGCTTTCATTACCTCTATATGTGACCTGCAACTTCAGCCAACACCCAGCTATGTAGGTCATGTTCTTGCTTCCTCTTCCATATCATCATTCTTCTGTGACCACTACCAACTACAACTGACAAAGATTTCTGCATGCTTCTAACAGAAATCCCTCTACTTTTTGCCATAACTTTGCCCTTGAGAGATGAAGTCTTTTCTATACCCTGGTCTTGGTTCTATCTATGGTAGTGTTTAATCCAGGAGCATAACTCAAAGCCCTAAAAAACTCTTCTATGATGGCCTCAAAGGCCCATTGGTATCAGTGCTTTCTGCTTAAATAAATATGCGAGAGACTTCTTTGTGCACTTGTGCCCTTAATTTGAGGAGCCAAAACAAGGTTAATATGGCACAAGTAGAATGAGCAAGAGGGTGAAT